GTCCTTTGAGTGCTAACTATATGCTAGGCACCTTGATCTGCTGCCCCCTCAGTAAGTCCTTAGCAACTGTAGGAACCTTTTTTATGGCGCAGGACAGACTTGGGCTAATGAAATCACTTTCCAGGGGTTACTTAGCTTCTGAGTGCCAGAACTGAAATTTGAACCCAAGCCTGTGTGAACCCAGAGGGTTGTCCTAGTAGCCTTGCCCACGAGGAGCCAGCCCTGTCACCTGGCAGAGCTCTGGGGAGCCAACAGATGCTGTTGCAGCCATGGACATGGTCCCTGGGAGTGGGTGGGTGACACCACCTGTGTTCCCGGCGGGGGAGTGGAGCCGGATGGTTCTGTGTTCCGGACAGGTCCTTGTTCATACGTTGCTGAGCACGCCACCCTCAGAGGATGAGGATGAATCACCGCGGAGAGGGCCAGCTTAGTCAGCACCCCATGCTGGTGTCTGGGCGCCGTCTAGAGACGCTCCAGCTGTCTCCTCCCTCCCTGTCCCTGACCCCAACTCCCAGACCGCCAAGTGCGATGGCGCAGGTTGTGCCTTGTGCAAGGACACCTGGCTGAGGAGAGAGCTGGAGCTGAATTCCAGCCAACATCCTGCTTGCCAAGTTGGGTGTCTGGCAGGCTTGTGTCTGTCCAGAGGACTCTGCAGGCTATGCCTTTCCTAATGCGTGCAGAGGCACTGGAGCAGAGGCAGAAGGGTCAGGAGCCCTAGAGGTACCGTCCTGGGTTGGGTAACCTTGCCGAAGGCCTTGGGCACATGGCTGTGGGGACAGGCATGTGAAGAAGGCAGAAGTGCTGGCCCCTCAGTGCTAACCCCGGCAGTGGGAACTCTGTGGAGCCTTGTGCAGTGTAGGCATTTGGGCCCATTGTGGGTTTCTGGGTTCACATCCAGAGACTTCTTTGAGTACCCCAGGCACACTCGCACCCATGATCCAGTGCTGCCTGAGGCTAGGGGTAAGTTACAGCTTAAGGCCCCTGTTGAGAGTACCTGTCTCTTACTCATAAATCAAATAAATAAACTTTAAACTTATTAAGGAAAGGAAAGCTGTCATTAGTATGATTTGTCAGGAGGAGGTTTCCTTTAAGTGATGAGGAACATGGGCTGTAAGGCCTTGCTGCCCGGATTCTCGGCCTGGCTTGACTGCTTTGTAGCAACAGCCTTGACTGAGTCACTTTATTTCTCGGAACTTCAGTGCCCTCATTTGAAAAGGCATAACAGGCCCTACAGACTTCACAGGTACCCTGAAGATTAAATGGACGGTGCATATAAAGCCTGTAACCTCGTGCTAGTACATAGTAGGTGATCGATAAACTATTAGCTCTAATTGTCAGCCACAGTCACATTTATTGAGTACTTACTCACTACTGGACATTCTTTTTGTTTTTCCTTTTTATTTTTAAAGAATGATTAATTTAATTTGATGTATTGTTATTCTTCAGTTTGATCAGAGAGAGAGAGAGAGAGAGAGAGATGGAAAGAGAGTAAGAAGATAAGTTGCCAGGTCTAGGATTTGAACTGTGGTCAACCATGTGTGAGTCCAGCACCTTAACCACCAGGCCACCTGTTGCCTCCTCCCTTTTAAGTTTGTTATAAGACATGTGCTCTCACTGGACTCCTCCCAAGGAATGCCATAATCCCTTCTATTCCACTGTCCTCTCAGGATTTTGGACATGCAAACACACGCACCTGCCATGTTTTTCAAGCCACTCAGTCTGGGACTGCACAGTTGGCCATATGGGGTCTAACCCCTTAACCTCTGCACCACCTGCTAGTCCCACTGCTGCACACTCTTATTGTCATTTTTACCATTTGCATCCGCTAACTTCTCTGTGCCACTTCCCAAGCAATCAGCTAATCAGTCATACCCTCTGCCTCATGTTCACACGGTGAAAGGAAGGGGCCTCAAGGGGTGACGTGACTTGTCCAAGGTTACACAGCCAGCTTCTCAGTGTCCTGTGTGGTTTTGTTCAGCCAAGTCTGCCGCAGAGCCACCGTCTGTGTCAGTCTCCCCAAGGGACACCCTTCTCTGCCCCTCCTATCCCCATTATTCTCCAGAGCCAGGAGCTCCTTGGAGCCACAAGCTTCGTGAATGGCTTGGTTAAGCACTTGGCCGTTAAACGTTCATCTCTTACAATTTCAATCCAATTCCTATAAGTTTATTGGCAAGACGCGGTGTATTAGAGCTGCCAAATTTAATATATCAAGTCCGTGTGTCTGGGATGCGGTTTCTCAGCAGTAATGGGAGAAGAGAGGTTTTATACGTTTTCTTTTTGAATGACTGTCTGTCCCTGATCCCATTACAGCCCCTGTCTTAATGGCTGCTGTCCCTTTTGCTGCAAGAGCAGCTTTCTCCATCAGCTCGCTTGGCTGCTGGGACTGTCTAGGAGGCTTGTTTGTCTCTGCGTCTCTTCCTCCCCAGCCTCTTTCTCTCAAGGTGATTCCCTGTTGCCTGCTCGGCTGAGCAGGCCCCAGCTTTGTCTTTACTTGCCAGGTCCTAGGAGTTTGAGTCTCTCACTGCTAGCCTGGGGGCTGTCATTTCCCTTCCTCGTCTGGCCCTCAGGAACCTGTTCTGTGAAGTGAGAGGTCAGACCACAGGGTGAAGGTCTACTCTGGGCCCAGCCTTTGCAGATCCCACCAGACAGCCCTGGTAGACCTCTTTCTCCTCTAGTCTGTGGGACCAAACAGGGGACCCAAGAGCTGGCCATGATAATCACTGCCCACTGGGGACTGCACCTCTCCTGGGGTAGGAGTGTTGGATATGGTCACTATGGGGGTTTTAAGATCCTGAAATGGGACCGGCTGTGTAGGGCACCAGTTAGGTGTCGCATAAAGAAAGCTGGATCCCACATGGGTGACCAGGGTTCAGGTCCTGGTCCTGTTGGCTTGAAAAGCTTTCCAGGTGCACATGTGCCCAGGATTCTGACAGCATGGGGAACTAGAGAAGAGACTGCCATGTGACCAGGCCCTATGAGGAGGGTATGTGTTCTCTCTCTCTCTCTCTCTCTCTCTCTCTCTCTCTCTGTCTCTCTCTCATTCTTGAGTGTGTGCAAGTACTCTGACAGAAAAAAAAAAAAAGAAAGAAAGAAAAGACCCTGAAATGTCCTCATTTCCTTTCATGACTAGCCAGGGACCTGCCGCCTGGGAATTTAGTAATCTCCTTGGGAAGCTGTTAGTATTTGCTGCCTGAGTCCTCAGGCTCCTCTGAGCTTTGAGCTGGATGTGGAAGAGAGGACACCAACAGTGTGATTTTAGGGGACCTACATTTCCCTTCTGCTCACTAGCTATGTGACCTTGGACAGATCCCTTCCTCTCTCTGAGTCACTTTTATCCCATCGGGAGAATGGAAAATAATTTATTCAACAAACACTTGATGGCCTACTCTGTATCACTGCTTGAGGTGTTGGGGCTCCAGCAATAACACAAAAGCATATCTGCCCTCGTAGATTTATAGTCTTGGATTTATATTCTTTTGGAGGGAGAAAGACAATAAATATAACAAGTAACTTGTTACTTCAAAGGCAATAAGTGCTATGAGGAAAAATAAAGCAGGCAATGGGGAAAGCTAAGTGGAGGGTTCTGAGGGTATTTTGTTTTTGTTTTGTTTTTCCTTTGCTATAGGGCATGTGTGCTCACCAGAGAGAGACAGAGGGAGAGGGGGGAAATGAAAACCCCTCCCCCACCAAGGGAGATGGCCACACCACAACCCCTTCCCTTCCATTCTCCTCTCAGGATTGTGGGCATGCACACACACACACATGCCTGGTGTGTTTTCTAGCCTCTGGCAGACTCAGTCTGTGCAGTTGGCCATGTAGGATCCAGCTGCCTTAACTTCACTCCATTTAGTTAGCCCCTGCAGGAGTTTTTAAGTTTACTTACTTATTTCTTCACAAAGGGAGAGAGGAAGGAGAGGAGGGCATCCCCAACAGGGTATTGACGCTGAGCCAGTCTCAGCTAGCCTGGATCATGGGTGTGGATATGCATGGCCACCCAGGATGCTCTAGGAAGCCTCAGGACATGAACCAGGGACCTTCTCTTGTGGGTCCAGCATTGCAGTGTTGAGTGATCACTGCGCCATCATCTGGTTCCGGGTTCTGTAATTTCTTTCCATTTTATTTAGTTAATTATTGCCAGTCAGATCAAGGCTAAACCTGTGTGCACCACTGGATTCCGTAATTTTTTTTTTTTTTGCCTTTTTTATAGAGAGACTTTTGCTATAGGGCACATATGCTTGCCAGACAGAAAAAGAGAGAGGGAAAGCCAGAAATCACCACCCAAGGTGGGCAGATGGCTATGCTGCAATCCTTTCTCCTCCATTCTCCTCTCAGGATCTTGGGCACGCATGCACACTCACCCAGCATGAGTTTTTTTAAGTTGCCAGGTCCAGGACTCAAACCACTGTTGACTATGTGGGAGTCCAGTGATGTAACCATTACGCCATCTGCTGGTCCCAGTTCTGTAATTTAAATAAAGTGGTCACAGTAGTGCTGAGAAGAAGTGGTCTCAGAGTACTGAGAAGGTAGGATTTGAACAAGAACAGAAGGAGTCACGTGTGTAATGTGGCAGGTGTGCGAGGGAGTGCATCCAGGCCGAGGAAACAGCAGATGCAAACTCCAGGGGTGGCCATATGCCTAGCATGTGCAAGAGGCAGGGAGGAAGCAGGTGTGGCGAGTGTGGAGAGAATGAGGACAGAGGAAGTCAGAGGCCAGAAGCACGGTAGGAGACGGTGGAGGCTGGCCAGAGGGTGCAAGGTGGTGGTTCCCTAGGCTGGCTACTTGTTAAAATTACCAGAATTGTTGATAGACCCTTCTGGAATGAGCCCTCTTAGGCCATAATCATTAACTGACAAATTCCTCCTGGGGGTGGGGGGACACATGTTAGAGAAGCCTCAGATCAGGTATGGCCCTAGGAAGGTTCGGTCAGGAACTAGGTGCCCTGGGCTTTGGTGTATGGTGTGTTCCCCACTGGCCTGACTGAGTGCTTTATGGCTTTTCAGGTGTCAGCAGCAGCAGCAGCAGCAGCAATACCTGGCTGAGGTGGCCATGGGGAAGCGGTACTTCTGTGACTACTGCGACCGTTCCTTCCAGGACAACCTCCACAACCGAAAGAAGCACCTGAATGGGCTGCAGCATCTCAAGGCTAAGAAGGTCTGGTATGACATGTTCCGAGGTGAGTGTCCCCTGGATCGGTGGCTGGACTCACAGAGCACCAGTTATGCTCTTCTTTATTGTCAGGTGATGGACACCGAGGGCCAGCTACAGTCTGGGCCTGTACCCTCTGAGGATCGAAAGAGAGGGAAGGCTAGGCTGATGGCTCCCAGGGCAGATGGGCTCTCAGAGGGACAGGTTAGAATGTGAGCTCCTTTCCCTAGTGACCTTGACTGCGCTCCACACACTGTCCTATGCCTCGGAGATACTGTGATCAGGAGGAAGGTGTCTCCAAGGAGATATCTGAGCCAGTAGCTGAAACGCAGTCATCCCTCAGCATCCACAGGGGTCTGGTTCTGGGACTCCTCATGGGTACTTGAATCCCAAGATGCTTAAGTGCCCTATATACAATGGTGTAATATTTATATATAACCTGTGTCATCTTTACATATAACTTATATCATCTCTAGATTACTTATAATACCTAATACAATTGTTAAAATTACCAGAATTGTTGATAGACCCTTCTGGAATGAGCCCTCTTAGGCCATAATCATTAACTGACAAATTCCTCCTGGGGGTGGGGGGACACATGTTAGAGAAGCCTCAGATCAGGTATGGCCCTAGGAAGGTTCGGTCAGGAACTAGGTGCCCTGGGCTTTGGTGTATGGTGTGTTCCCCACTGGCCTGACTGAGTGCTTTATGGCTTTTCAGGTGTCAGCAGCAGCAGCAGCAGCAGCAATACCTGGCTGAGGTGGCCATGGGGAAGCGGTACTTCTGTGACTACTGCGACCGTTCCTTCCAGGACAACCTCCACAACCGAAAGAAGCACCTGAATGGGCTGCAGCATCTCAAGGCTAAGAAGGTCTGGTATGACATGTTCCGAGGTGAGTGTCCCCTGGATCGGTGGCTGGACTCACAGAGCACCAGTTATGCTCTTCTTTATTGTCAGGTGATGGACACCGAGGGCCAGCTACAGTCTGGGCCTGTACCCTCTGAGGATCGAAAGAGAGGGAAGGCTAGGCTGATGGCTCCCAGGGCAGATGGGCTCTCAGAGGGACAGGTTAGAATGTGAGCTCCTTTCCCTAGTGACCTTGACTGCGCTCCACACACTGTCCTATGCCTCGGAGATACTGTGATCAGGAGGAAGGTGTCTCCAAGGAGATATCTGAGCCAGTAGCTGAAACGCAGTCATCCCTCAGCATCCACAGGGGTCTGGTTCTGGGACTCCTCATGGGTACTTGAATCCCAAGATGCTTAAGTGCCCTATATACAATGGTGTAATATTTATATATAACCTGTGTCATCTTTACATATAACTTATATCATCTCTAGATTACTTATAATACCTAATACAATATAAATGCTATGTAAATAGTTGTTATATTGTTTAAGGACTGATGGCAAGAAAAGTCTGTATATGTTCAGTGCAAATGCAACCTTAGTAGTCCTAACTACATAGCACATGTCAACAACCAATGTGACTTAAAAATAATTAATTAATTAATTAATTAAATAGGTTTTCCCCTTAGTTCATATGCTTGCCAGAGAGAAAGAGAGAGAGAAGCAGAGACAGAGACAATGAGAGGGAAAGTGAGAAATCATCCCCCAATGAGATGACCACAATGCAATCCGTTCTCCTCCTGGGATCTTGGGCCCACATGCACATGCACCCAGTGTGAGTTTCAAGCCACTGGGTCAAGAAGTTGAATCATGGTTGGCCACATGGGAATCCAGGCATGTAACTGCTATGCCATCTTCTGGCCCCCATTTATTTATTTTTAGATTTTTGCCGTAGGGCACTTGCACCCACCAGAGAGAGACAGAGAGGGAAAGTGAGAAATCACCCCCCAGGGGGATGGCCAATCTCTTCTCCTCCATTCTCCTCTAGTGATTTTGGGCACACATGCGCACATGCCTGATATGTTTTTCAAGCTACTGAGTCCAGAATTTGAGCTGTGGAGTCAGCCATGTAGGATCCACACCTTAATCACCATGCTACCTGCTAGCCCTAAATTTATTTTAAATTTACTTATTCCTTCCATAAGCAAGACAGACAGAAAAAGAGAGAAAAACAGTACTCACAACAGAGGCTTTGTAAAGTATGTGTTCCATGAGAGCGAGAGAGACAGCACCTCCAGTAGGGCCTTCACATCATGATCCACCTCCAGCTTCAGCCAGCCCGGTACATGCATGTACATGTGCCAGTGTGCTCAGTGTGCTCGAGGTTCGTGGTGCAACCCAGGACCTTTCTCACGTGGATCCACTGCTGTACCACCTCACTCACCTCCCAGCAGTGTCTTGGTGGCTCAATCCACCCCTAGCCAGCCTTGAATCAGGGGTGTGTGTATCCAGTGTGCCCAGAGCCTTCTCAGGTCAGCCCCTAGTGCATATTGTTTTACTGCTATGCTGCCTTCCAGCCCCTAGTGTAACATTTTTTTTAATTATTTTATTTAACTTTATTATTAAATTTTTTCCAGTTTAATCAGAGAAAGAGAGAGAGGGAGAGTTAGAAAGTGAGCCATCAGGTCCAGGACTCAAGCCACAGTCAGCTATGTGGGAATCCAGTGCCCTTAACCACCACACTACCTGCCGGCCCTTGTAACATTTTATATCTGAAAGAGGATATGGGCTAACTGCTACAGCATTCTGGGCAGAGGGTCTACGGAGAAGCAGGTGGCTTGGGCAAAGCACCAGGTGCTATGGGAGCAGAAAGGAGAAGGTATGGCTGGATGTAGCAGGTGAGGGGGAGGATGGTAGGCCAGTGCTGACTGCGGAGTGGGGACTAGACCCTTCAGACCAGCAGAGGCCACAATGAGGAGATGCATTGTTTTGAGGGCAGAAGGCAGCCTTTGAAAGGTTTTAGGCAAGGGCCTATGTGGCCAAACCTGCGTTTCTCAGTGACATGCAGTGAGCAGTGGGGTGCGGTGACTGACTGGAGGGTGGATGAGTAACCGAGTTGCTGGAAGGAGGGAGGGAGGGCAAACTCTTCCAGGAATGGCTTCTCAGAGCAGGTGTGACTGCAGTGAATGAGCTAAGGTTGCACCCAGCATAGGGCCTGGCTCCTGGGAGGTACCCGTAGAGGAGAGCTGGGTGGTGTCACTAGATGTACCCACTGAGGAGTAGCCAGGGAGGGGATAGGGTGTGGCCAGGCTCCAGGTAGAAAGAAGAGGGAGCTTGGCAGGTGGGCACTGATGGGTCAGGAGCTCCTAGAAAGAGCTAGGGTAGAGCCGATGCCCTGCCTGTTGGGGAACAGGATTCTGGGATCAGTCCTAGAGCCCAGAAGGAAGGATCTGCATTCCAGCAGTCAAGAAGGGAGGAGAGGGAACCAGCAGTTAGCGTAATGGCTATGTCGCTGGACTCCCACGTAGTCGATCGCGGTTCGCGTCCCGGACCCGGTGGCTTAAAACTCA